GCGATAACGAACTGTTATTTTGTTGATGGCCCTGCTATCTATACACATCCGATAACTCCCATCTTTTTTTGGCACTAGGAGTGTGGGGACTGCACATGGGCTGAGGCTCTCTCTGATGTACCCCTTCTGCACCAACTCCTCTACTTGTCTCCTCAATTCCTCATGTTCCACTGGGCTCATTCGATAATGTGGGCGATTAGGCAATGACGCGCCCGGTACCAAATCAATGTGATGTTGCATATCCCGCAAAGGTGGAAGACCCTGTGGAAGGTCATCTGGAAACACATCATGAAACTCAGACACCAAGGCGGCAGCTTTGGGGTGAAGACCCGTCCCCTCGGCTGCCATAGGAACTGTCGACTCTCTTGTCGCCTCAGTTCCCACTAACAACGGTACAACACCTTCTGCCAGCATCTCACTCACAAACAAAGATTGGGAAAGTAGATTACTACTGTCCCCTACCGAAGACAGATACTGCGTATCTTTGGAGGGTAGTAGTACAATCTTTTTACCCAAAAAGGTGAATGTATATGCATTTCGATGCCCTTCATGACACACATCCCTATCAAACTGCCATGGACGACCCAACAACAAATGACACACATCCATCGGCACCATATCACACCAAACACTATCACGATGCACACTGTCAATAGAAAAAGATACCAACACATGGCTAGTAACACAAATCTCATTACCTCGTCTCAACCATGCTAGGCTATAGGGAGCAGGATGAGGTTTGATGCTTAACTACAGCTTCTGCACGGTCGCTTCAGATATCACATTTTCGCAACTGCCCGAATCAATGATGAACCTACACACCTTTCCTCCAATGGCACACGTAGACAGAAAGATATTGTTTTGCTGCAGGTCCTCAGATGACCCCTTACGCGTAAGGCACGCCTGTCGGACCACCAAAAGAGGCCCCGTGTCACCTGTATGCACAATTTCAGCCTCTTCTTCTTCATTCTCCACATGAACAGAATCGTTAACATCGGCTTGTGTTGTCCCTCCAATGAACAAACCTGGGCGTGGCTGCCCATGAGATGGACAGTCTTTCCTCAAATGACCAAAACCACCACAATCAAAACACTGACTTCCACGCCCTCATCCACCAGGAGGAGCCCAGCCACCCGGATTAGCGGTTGGAGGAACCATTGGCCGAGTGTTCCGATCAACGCGCCGACCCCCAGATGTAAATGATTGGGACGGACCAGATGTGGGATTTGGGGCGAATTGTAGACCCCCACCTCCAGATGGACCACCAGAAATGCCTACTACAGAACGACGTTGTTGTTGATTTTCAGCCTGAAGTGCTCGCTGGTGAGCCTCAGAAACAGATACCGACAAGAACATATTTAGGAAGTCTTGCAAATTCAATCGTAGTCCACCAATATAGCGCGCTACCAACTGGTCTTCTGATTCTCCCACATCATTTCGTGCTATCAGTTGGTAAAACTCTGTGGAATAAGCATCTACAGATCGATTGCCTTGTCTCAAATTCTGTAAGCGCTGATACAAAGTCCTGGAATAATTAAAGGGAAGAAACACTGCCTTCAACTGTTTCTTCATTTTTTCGCACGACTGGATTTTCGCCTTACCCTGACGGATCCAGTTTTGCTTCAGTTGCTGCCACCACGCAGCAGCACGACCACGCAGACGGGTCACCACCAAAGGTACCCTTTTATTGTCGGGCACTTCTTTATAATCCAAGATCTCCTCTACTGTCGCCAGCCAATCGAGAAATTCATCTGCCTCAATTCCACCGTGAAATTCAGGTATATCAACCTTGAATCCGGATTCCCATCGCTGAAACGCGTCCTGCTGTTGCACACGAGGCTATTGAACACGAGGCTGTTGAACATGATCGCCACGTGCCTCTGACAAGGTCTCCTCATCTGACCTCTCCCCTAATTCAGATCCACCTCCATCATCACTCACTTTGGCACGACGTGGAGGAGCAGGAGATGTTCTGTTCTACACAACCTCTGCCGCCCACGTCATGAATTGATCAAATCGGATTGTCAACGCCTCAACTTGATTACACAGATTTGCAACTTCATCAATCTGGCCACCATGGCCACCATGACCACCACGTCCTCTCCCACGCACCATGCTCTGATACCAAAATGATGTAGATTAAATCTACAAACACACGACAACAATAGCCAAACGGATTGAATTCAGAAACAAACTTTTATTATTTCGTGAACAACCAAGAAAATCCTAGAAGACGTCTTGTAGCGTCTTAAATATGAAAGAAAAGATAATCTACTGGGCCAGCAGTCCCAAAATGGGCTGGGCTACAAAATGAAAATAACAAATGCTGAAAATAAATAACACAAAAATTTAAAATATTGTTTTGACACACTAAACGACTTCAAATGCCCAAAAACCCTCGTACGTCACAACAAAGTGGTGAGTTCAGTCCGAAACGCTCGCTACCTTTCCGAAATGGGGTTATGGGCCCAAAACGGACACCAAACGCAAAAGTTACATCAATTTCTTTGAAAGCCGACCATCCAACCGTTCCATGTATGCCAATGCCTGTTCCTCCACATAAACCTCATCACATCATCTTAGCCCCCGATTTCACATCTTTTTTTTCCAGATCTAAGGGTCGAGGTGTTGCCACCTCGGCACCTCGATTTAGCCCTGTTTTGGGCCTGTTCAAACAGGTTTATTGAATATAAAATGCGCAGATATACTCCCTCGAGGACTATCAATGTTAACAATAATATCTTTTGCATCAGGTTATCTGCCAACTGTCAATTCGGCATCCCTCATCTAATCCTTTTTTATATTTGCCAATGTCTATCTTCATAAGCCCATAGCATTTGCATAAAAATTTAATAAAATATCAAAATCATAAGGTTTTACCAATTATGTGTACGACCAGTGGATACTAGTAAGCATTATATTTTTGCTAACCTTCTATGTCTTGGTCAGATGCCTACTCTTTGAAGTGACGGCGTATCTGTAAAACATCTTTGATATCATAGATATGTGTTGAATACATCAACATCATCTATTACATTAAAGGAAAAGTAATCAATCAATGTATTATGGTGCTTTCAACTCAACATGATTTCCAGAATTAATTCCAACTCGAGTTTGTATTTATCGCACTTCATTATGCATCCATCAAAAGTACTCTCCAAATGTGGAAAAGTAAACTTAGACCTACCTCGCCTGATAAACTTTGGGCCTAAATTCTTCTTCATTCCGATATTTCGGTCATGTAACGAGGGTAAACTAAAATAAGGAAAATTGAGCTACCTTTCGTCCCCTAATGGAAATCATCGTTCGTCGGCGTTAACTGATTTAAGCAGTTGAAGCAATAGACCATCGTGATCGGGCTGAGAAATGGATACGCCTTATGTGAAAGAATTTCTAAGGCATGAACTGTCCAATTTTTCTCTATGACCGTCATCAAGAGCATCTAATACCTTTTTGATATTTTCGAGGTTACTATTAGAGGTCATCTTTCTCGAAAATTCACTCATACTATTGTCAATATTGTACTTCATCGTACAATAATGGATGAATTTTAGTAACTTAAATAAGCAAATTTAAACATAGGGTTGGTTAAGTAGAGTCCCCAAAGACTAGGGTTGATGAGAAAAGTCTTCACCAATTGAAAGTCAACAATATTCCAGTGTTCATCGCTGAATTAGCAAAGTCATCTTGAGACCTGGAGGATGTAAACACGTAAGGATCGTACCATCAAAATATTCTGTAGGGTACACAATTTTTACACAAATGTTTTTTTTTATCAATAAATGTAAATTGTATTGATCAAAGATATGTACAAATACACCGGGCATTCCCCGGGCTTATGAATCCAAGTCAAGTAAATATACAACTACACCAAGTATTCTTGGGTAAAACAAAATATAGATAATCAAATACAACTAATACAAACTAAAGACCCATTGATAAGGACTCGTAATGAATCAAAACATTTGGATACAAAGAAAAAATAATATTGTATACGTATGTTTTGATTCATTACGAGTCCTTATCAATGGGTCTTTAGTTTGTATTAGTTGTATTTGATTATCAAAGAAAAAATAATATTGTATACTTATGTTTTGATTCGTCGAACAATACTATCAATATGTGGTTTAACATCATCAAAAATCCTTCTATTTCTTGCCATCCAAATGAGCTAAACGGTCGTTGTAAGTGCAATCCACTTAGCTTTGCTGTGCCAAGAAGTACCCCGACTTTCCTTTTTAATCCACTTCACAACACTGGAAAGTGTAGACATAGACCGCCTAAGACCCATTGATGTGCGGATAATTTTCCAAATAGACTGGCAAAATGAACAATCAAAGAATAAATGACTTATCGTCTCATCCATGTGTTCACAAAAACAGGACTAACGATCAATCTGGAGATATTCCAATCTGTCCTTTGTAAGTAGTTTAGATTTGACTGCCAACCACAAGACAAAAACATGCTTTGGTGTCACATATGAGTTCCAATTAGAGCTAGCCCAGATTACATTTGTTCCCTTTGGCCTAAAATATTCATAAGCATCAGCAATTTTGAATCTATCAATTTACTGTCTAGCTGGATAGTTTTTCACCAACAGCCTGGCCAGTATGTTCGGCCTGGGCAATGCAATCCCTAATGTCCAGTAGTTTCTTAACAAGACGGGAATCCTCTTTCCTCGAGTTGTACATCCAAACGCAACTCCTCCGAAGGTAAACTTGATTAACCCATTTGATCCACAAGGTATCTTTCTGATAATGAATATTCCAAAGTGTTTTGACAAGTAGTACAGAGTTCTAGCTTTTAATATCCCTAAGCCCAAGTCCACCTTCATCCTTTGGTAGGCAAATATTGCTCCATGAAACCAATGGTTTGTTAGATTTCCAAAGAAAATTTTGAAGACGAGATATAACCCTAGAAACAACCGTAGTCGGAATAGGGAAAGTGGATGACCAAAAACATACAACCCCCTGAAGCACGGCCCTCACAAGTTCCCTTCTTCACGCATAAGATAACGACGCCTTAGACCAAACACCAATATAAGCTATGATTTTGTTGATAAGTGCATCATAAGTGTTGATTTTCAACCTTTTCGCTGCAAGCAGAATGCCCAAGTAGCGAAAAGGCATACAACCTTTGGGGATGCTAGCAATCTCAAGAATATCCTCCATCTCTTGGCCATAAACCCCCGCCATGTACAAGTTAGACTTGTCAACATTTATCTTAAGCCCCGACATGTTACCAAAAGTAGCAAGGCAATTCATCAAAATACTAATCGAAGTAGCATCACCTCTAGCAAATAACATCAAATCATTCGCAAAAGCCAAATGCGTAATCTTTAGTGGAGCACACTTTGGATGGAAATTAAATTCACTATTATTGGTGGCTCCTTTCAACGTCCTAGAAAAGTATTCAAGGCATAAGACAAATAAGAAAGGGGAAAGAGGATCACCTTGCCGAAGACCTTTTTTCCCTTTAAAGAATCCATGAAGACCACCATTAAGAGCAATAGAGTATGAAGGTGATGGAACACATTCCATAACCTATTCAATGAAAATAATAGGAAACTTCAATCCCTCGAGCATATTCTTAAGGAACTCCCATTGCACCGAGTCATAAGCTTTCTTTAAATCAATTTTAAGAAGGTATCTAGGGGAAATCCTCTTTCGATTGCACTGTCTCAAAAGCTTTTGAGCAAGGTGGATATGCTCCGTGATGCTTCTACCTTTCATAAAAGTATCTTGAGTTTTATCAATAATGGACTCGAGTTGAACCCAGCCGAGAAGCAAGAATCTTTGTGATCACTTTATAGAAAACATTGCAACAACCAATCGGTCTATAATCACCCATTAACGAAGAATGATTGGCTTTAGGGACCAATGCAATAACGATATGGTTCATTTGCTTTAGGAGGGATCTAGAAGCAAAGAATTCTTCAATAGCACCCGTAAATTCATCGCCGACAATATTCCAAGCCTCTTTGAGAAGTAAAGAGGAATAACCATTTGACCCCGATGATTTTTCATCACCAATGCTAAAAAGTGCATCCTTTATTTCTTGCCTAGAAATATCCCATATAAGTGAAGTGGCATGCTCATCGGGTAATAGAGGTCCAAACCTCAAATTTCTAGCTTCAAAAGGCTGACCAATGCTATCTTTTCCCCGCAACTCATTATTAACATGAATGAATTCATCAACAACTTCTTTTTGTGATGAGGTATATGAACCATCCCTCTTTTGAACAGCAACAATGAAGTTTCTTTTGGTATTTCTCTTAACCATAGAGTGAAAAAACTTTGTGCATTTATCACTATGCTTCAGGCATGCGCACTTTGCCTGTTGGAAGTAAAAACTTCTCCCAGCTTCACAGAGAAACATAGCTTCTTTCCTTAAACTTGCAACCTCATTTTGCACATGAGGGTTTGTGGGATCATCATGTAAAACCAGCTGGGATTCCTTCAAAGCTTTAGTGACTACCTCGGCTCTTGAAGATATATGCCCATAATGCTTAACATTAAGCTCTTTGAGTACTCCTTTAAGCCGTTGCAATTTTTTGCAAAGAGGAAATTGTTTAGTATCCTGTATCTCAATATTCCAAACACTAAGCACAAGATCATGGAAGTTCTCTTGTTTAGTCCACATTTAAAGAATCTAAAAGGTTTCCTTTTCCCTTCATCACATTCAAAAATAGAAACAATACACGGTGAATGATTTGAAAGGCATCCCGAAGGTAGAAACTCCGCAAAACTAAAAAAAACCCATATGCATCCAAACATCATTTACCATGGCTCTGTCAAGTTTACACCATTAAGAATTGTTGGACCAAGTGTAAAACCATCTAATGGATCTCAAATCCATAAGTCCAACATTGAGGCAACAATCCACAAAGTCCTTACCTCATATGGGGTCACATCGGCTCCATTACTTCTCTCATCAAAGTTAAGAACATTGTTGAAATCACCCAAAATCAACCAAGGCATAGAACAATCCACTCCAAACTTATCGATATTGTCCAAAGAGGTCTTCGACTAACAATTGTATGAAAACCATAGACAAAACTAACAAGAAATTTAATAGATGTGACCTTACATGTAACAATACAACGGATGACTTGTGAGGTAGTCTCCAACATTTCTAAGTCAACTTTCAAGGAGTTCCATAGCACCAAAATTCGTCCTGCACGGTGGGATGGAAAGTTGTTGATTTGCAATAGGTTGCCAAATTTATTCCGCATGATTCAGTCTAACTTCAGCACCTCCAACTTAGTTTCCAAGATACCCATAACATCAATGTTGTGTTGATTCATAAAACTTCGAACCCCGTTTTGTTTAAGGTAAGTGTTCAAGCCCCTTATATTCCAAGTGCTTATCTTCATGATGAAGGAGGAAGAACATTGCCCTTCTTTCTAACCTTAGCATTTGGTTAGTTACATTGCTCACCCTCCTTGCCTTTGAGCCTCTCATTATTTGGTTTTTCCAAATAAGTATTACTACCATCAACATCTTTTGAAGTCACTCCTTGCACATGAGTACTACCAACAGCCCTTGACTTATGAGTGTCTACATTTGGTGCAGAACAAAGAGCATTCTGCCTGGATAAAGTATGGCCTGCCTTTGTACCTCTCTTCTTACCCACAACTTGTATGAACTGCCCTTCATCCTACACAGTTTGCTGTCCACTAACCATACTTGTCTGTTGAGCATTCAAATCTGCCTGGTTCGGGGGAATCATGAACAGCCTGACTTGATTCCCCAGCCTAATTATGAACTGATGAGGAACCCATATTGGGTTTCTGTTTGGCAACCTGCTTTTTGGCGTTGCAAGCGCTAGTAGTGTGTCCAATCATCCTGCAATTTCCACAAAATTTGGGCTCATGCTCAAATTCTACCACTTGCTCCCTTAATTTGCTCGTCGGGAGATTCATAGCCACAGACCGAACAAGTTCCTTAGAGGCATCAATTTCCACTAATACACGTGCATACGATATTCTCCCCTTAGTAGCGATAAGTGTATCCGTCGATATTGGTTTTTTCCTAGTCTTGGATGCAATTTTAGCCAATGCTCTAGGATTCCAACAATCCAATGGAAGGCCCGGTAACTTCACTCATACTGGCATGGTGCAAACCTCATCATCATCGAATTCAAAACACCGAGGAATAACCTTAAGCATTAATGGTCTACCATACATAAGGTAAGGACCACCTTGTATCACACTAGTCCTAGATTCCTCATCTTTAAACTTAAAATCAACCACCCAGTTCTATGAACAAAATATTGGAACTCAACCTTCCAAGAGTTACACATAAGGAGTAGTGCTCATTTTCCGGGGAAACGACCAGCAAAAAAACCAACAATACAATAGCCCCATGAATCATCAACATTATCCACATCAAGATCCTCCAATGTAATGATATCAGGTTGGTCATCAATGGTTTTAATTTTAAAACCTTCATCAGAATTCCTATTGTCTTTGAATAAATTTACCCAAGGGGCAACCTTATTCTCACCACTATCACCACCATTTTTATCCTCAACAACATTATGAGGTTCATCATATGAGCATTCGGAACTTGTATCCACATCCCCAAGAGTTTGGGATACACTAGGTGAATTTTCATCGTCACATAATTCTACCTTATGATGTTGTTGAGGCACCACAGAAATGGAGACTTTAGTTACGGGAGCAACAGTCAAGCGCTGAACCGGTCCAATAGGCTTCTTAGCACCAAGATTATGGGCTTTCTTTCTAACCATAGTTCCAAGCACTGTTGTAATAAAAAAAGGGGCCACAAGAAACTAGACCAATACAGGCCCACTTAAAAGAGCAAATAAACAAGTGGTAATATAAAACCCGAATAGAAAGTACCCCACGTGTAGTAACCAGATAGAGTTTCAGATTTAAAAATTCAAATTTGTAGCCCAAATCAGTCAATCAACCTGCCCTCTGTCACGCTGAGAACCTGCAAATCCAGAAGCTACTTTGACCAGAATCCAAATTGTATATGAAATATACATACACAATAAATACAAACTTCAAGCTTCGAAGCACAAACAATCGGCTGGAAATCTGGCCAACCAACAAGGAGAAGAACCGTGCCACAAAGTTGCAAGAACTGATGGAAGAAGAAAACAAGCAAGAAGAAGACTGCAGTGAAAACCAAAACTGCCTGAGCCTAACCGTCCAAGACGAGACCAAACCATAGGAATCCAGTATCAATGTACTGAAAACCACGAGTTGAATTAAGGTATCACAAAGATGAACCTAAAGGGAAAATGAGCAGGCAACAATCGTAAACTGTACAAAGTTTACTTTTTACAGCATACATTTGCATGTCACATAAAGTCACGAAGTAAATATTCACATTTTTTACGTTATACAATGCATGTTGTAAAAAATGAATTGGATGCCATTAACTTTTTATGGCAAACAAAGCATGCCATTAAAGCATACATATGCACGCAGCAAAAAAACATACATTAAAGCAGTCTATTTACTATTTTAAATTGTTTATTGACATGATTACCATCAATTATATTTTCCATAATTTCAATAAAAAAAATATTGAGTAAAATTTAATAAAATATGTCAATATGTAGAGTATATCTAAATAATTCTAAGAGCATCGTTGGCCAACTCAAAAAGTTTGCCATTGCACTAAACGCTTCAGCACGTGGAAACTTCATTATTCAATGGTTTCCAAGTAGGTTTCCTCGGCAGCCCAAAGATCATTCTTCACCTACCAAAGGAAGTTTGTGCATTTGTTCAAGGCCTCTGCATCCTTCAGCTCCACAGCTCTCTTAAAGTAGTCTGCTATGTTTCAATCGATAGAATTCCTTAACATCAGTATATAAACGAATTGACAATATAGCTAATTACTCAAACAATTTTAACTAATGTACAGGAGGATTTCACCTTCATGTCGCTACCTCTCCTTCCAAACTTTTACGTCAATACTGTCAATGAATCAATGGCTCCCTTTGGCTCAGGAACAGGTTGTTAATCTCAGCAAATGGCTCCCTCATGAGAACACAATCAAATCAATATATTATGACCTGTTCATATCCTTCCTACACACAAGCAAAACCAAGTTGGTGTTTAAAATCCCAAACATCGAAAAAAAGAAAAATTCCTCGTGGACACGTGAAATCGCAAGAAGAAAATAAATAAAAAGAATCAAATAAAGACCAGCAATTGCACCAATAATTGTATAGAAGCAAACAACGTTCGCATGCACAATTCCTCCTCATGTAGAACTAATCAATTTCTATTATGATAAACAGAACATGTTCCCGCCAAGCAAAAGCATTCACCCGAAAACAGTAGAACATATTTGAAATTCCACACACCTTAATTAGATGATAAAATGTAGAAACCTTCCAAATGCTGGAGATAAACCTGGAGTACTGACCAGAGGCGCATTATGAAATTGTCAAATACCTGGGTTTGTTGAAAGAGTAAAGCAGTAAAGCAGTAGCGACGACAGCGATCGACCATTATATGTGATTTGGGAAAATTGGAATCGGAAAAGGGTTTGGACGGAAATGGCAGATGGCTGATTGAACGGATTATTGTTAATTGAACGGTTGCTAATTGAGAGCGCAAAGGTTTGGCCCGAAAGGAGATGAGAGAAGCGTAGAAAAAAGAAAGAAAATGTGAAGAAAAAAATGAAACAAAGGGTTAAATTAATCAATGGCCATCCAACTTTGTATTTAATGTCATCATGATCATCTAATTTTATTTCTTTCATCATGACCACCCAACTTTATATGTAGTGTCAATGGCCATCTAATTTGATTTTGTTTCATCATGACCACCTGACTTCATAAAACGTTTCAATGTGACTATTTAATTTGATTTTATTTCATCATGACTACCTCATTTCATAAAATGATTCACAGTGACCATTCAGATTCATATACTCATTTTAAAAGGGATAGAAGGATAACTTTACATTATATATAAAATAAATTTAAATAATAATAATAATAATAATAATAATAATAATAATAATAATAATAATAATATATTTTGAAAAATAAAATAAAATAAAAAGCTTATTTTATAAAAACTTTCCTTAAAAAAATAACATAATTATTATATTTTTGAAGTAACTTTTTATAAAATAAGCTTTTTATTTTTTAAATAACATTTTCTAAATAATAAGTTTTTATATTATTATATTTTTTAAAATAAATATTTATTATATTTTTTAAAAATTATTTTATATAAAAGGCAAAATTACAGTTTCATCCCTTTTAAAATAAGTGAAAATGGTGTAAAGAAGTTGATGATCATATTGAAACGTTATATGAAATAAGCTTGTCATGATGATATGCTTTATGAAGTTGGGTGTCATGTGAAATAAAATCAAATTGGATAGCTATGGTAATATTAAATATAAAGTTGGATGGCTATGATGAAATAAAATCAAATTAGGTAGCCATGGTAATACTAAATACAAAGTTAGGTGGCCACTGATGAATTTAACCCTGAAAGAAAAGAAAATGAAAGGAAGAGAAGATGTGGGAGAATAAAAAGAGAAAAATGGAAAAGAAATTTCAAGATCAAAACTGGGCATTTTTTACTACATGCCAATATGTGTGTCATAAATATTCAACTTTTACAGCATGCCCAATATGTATGTCGTCGATATTAAGCATTTACGACACGCCAATAATATATGTCGTAAGTAATTTAATTATTACAGCACACATATAATGCAAGATGTAAATAGTCTATTTTTAGGGCATGCTTTATATGCATAGTGTAAATGAATATCGTAAACAGCTACTTCTGCTGTAGTGGTATCATAAAAAATTTGATAGTTTGATATGCTACTACAATCATGCAATTCAAAGAGCACTTCAAGTATTCATTGTTGTTTTAGAAAAGTAGTTCTGGGAGCCCGAAAGTGGTTAATACATCTATAAGTATGATACCATCAAAACGTTTGATGGGTCCCCACGACATCGAGACTAACGTCAATTGACTTGAAATTGCACTTGGCATCACTTAATGACTGCTAAACTTGTCCCATTAAATCAAAAACTGAAAATGCACAAATAATAATTGTATCGTAATATGCTATCGATGGTCATGTTGATAGCATTCCTAACCCACGACGAACCCATACAAAGGCATTTCAGACAGCTCTAATGAGACCCCAAAAGTCATGACCACGTCTATAAGGATTGTAATGTCTCGAGTCTATGTGATATCAAGACTGACGTTGATTTTACTTATGGTGTTCATTGCTGACTTAACAGAGTCGTTCCTAGACCCATAAGATGCAGCTGCATTTATTAAGTTCATACCTTTAAAGCATTCGACCGGGTACACCAATATCGAGGCAGAAGTCGTTTGGACTTGAAATGAAATTTGACGTTGTTTAGTGAATTGCCAAAGTTGTTCCACAGATAAAAGTAAGTCAAAGTAAAGTTGGCTGCCTTGACTAAGGTGTATACCCTTTGAAATAACATCAATCACCGTGCCCTCTTGATCTTCTTGTCGATCGTGGATTCAAGAAGGTAAATGTTGGATAAATTAATGGATATATAAAGATTACTTAGAGGCTGGAATCCATATGATATTTTCCCCGAGGTAATGAGGACTTACACTTGACTAAAAACTAATGTCAAGGGGATAATTGAAATAAATACCTAACAATAGCATACAATCCATATTTGTCTGAAAAAAGTAAAAAAAAATAAGTAGATAGAATTCGAATTTCCTTGAATTTGAAGAAAGCCATAATTCGTCATGATATTGGAGATAAATAGTAGACGACAAGATTGAGCCATAGTCCGTCATGATATTGGAGATAAATAGTAAATGACAAGATTGAGCTACAAGAGAATCTTAGAGAGCATGATAGGATAAAGAATGAGCTTATTTGCACGTTTCAATGTAGTATAATAGTAGAAAAGTATGTAAAAAGTGTATTTATACATTTATTTTGACTTTTAAATATTAATATTTGGGAGTACTTTTAAGGGATTATTACTTAATCATGTGTAAATATTGTTTGTTTAGGTGAAATTCGACGTTGGACGATCTTTCGGAGGAAAAAATATATATTAAAAAATGAATGAAGGGACGTATTTTGTGCTTAATTCTGAGAATGAAAACCAACTTAATAGAAATTGGAAGACGAGGGGCTTTGAACCAGAAGCTGAAATCTAGGACCAGAATGTAAATTAGCCAAAGGATAAAAGTTGTATCCTGCTATCATAAGGTGCAATAACCTATGTGATCGGAAGGCTTGACGAATAGAGTAGAGTATATAATGGCTGTTCTATGCTATTGCAATCACTTATACCATACAGTTGCATGGTTGCTAATCTGGGGTAGAATTTTTTTTTTTTTTTCTCCCCTATTCAATTTTGTTCTTCTTTTGGGAAGCAATTTGACCAAGGTTTTTATTGTTTATTATTTCCTTAAATAATCTTAGTTGTCATATTCTATTAAAATTAATGAAATTTCGTGCAATTTTCCATTTAAAATATTGCATTCTTCAAAAAAGGAAAAGGGGGGAGGGGGGAGAAGAAGTTAAATGGGGTTGGGTTGAGCCCTTGTTACCTATACTGCCCCAGGATGAAATACCCCGTGATTTTTTCATGGGTTTTTTTTTTTTTTTTTGCCATACCTACTAATTTGAAATAAGAAATTAGACATTCTTTATTCAAGAATGTGAAGATGAAGTCTAAGAAGAGATTCAAAACAAATATATGAAGATTTAAAGATTCAAAGCTTAGAAATGAAGATTAAAAGAAAGAAAGAATCTTGAATCAATTGAAGTCTTGTTTGGAGAAATTCAAGAAGTCAAAATTGATTCTATTTCTTCTTTTGCAAATATATTTTTCGGGTGATGTATATTCATTTCTTTTGTTGTAATTTCATAGTAAGCATGCTACGCTAAAATTGTAAATATTGGGATGAAGACAAAAGCCATTGTTTACCTTTTATAATTAAAAAAAGACCATTTTTTAGTGTGATTTGTGTATTTGATTGATGTCATATGATTAATTTTTATTTTAATTCTTGATCACCATGTACATAATAAGTTGCTTATTTTATTTTCAGGGGTTCAAAATAGGTTAGAACATTGTAATAATAAACATAAGGTTCGATAAACAATATGAATAATAGTTTATAACTTAAGCAATCGAAGTATGTAATCATGCAATTTAGTGTATTTCAGTATTTAAATTTGAATAGGGATACTTCGAGTTGTGTTTAAAAACAGGTTGAACTTATCTCGAGAGAGCTATTTTATTAAAATTGGATTACAGTTGTGAATTTATACACAAATTAGACTAAAGATTATAGTTTGAGAATTGGAACAGGAAACAATAGTTAGAGTTGGAATCCCAACACATTTCCCTCGTAAAAGCTTTCATAAAATCATTCTTTGCGTGTATTTAGATAGAAATTAGAATAGCTATTAATAGTAGAGAATCAAAACATCAGCTCAAATTTTTGACTCAGTCACATCCAATTTTGATTTCCAGTCAATACAAGTTAAAGTCTATTTCTCAAGGTTTCGATACTTCGAACTCATCAAATAACTATCATTGCACTTGCGAAATTTCAACGTATATGTGACTCTAAAATCTTAACTAGAGAAATGAGAGGGCAATATGATCTCAATAGAGTCGATACAAGGTATATGCAGTCATGTCAATATTTTAGTCTAACAGACGAAATCCAGTAGTCAAGACCCATGTTGTTAAGTTAATTATCAACTCCTAAACATTGAAAGAAATGTCCACGTCTACCATATGTAACCTCTAAACATTACGTTGCTAGGCATCGCGTCTACCCAGGTGCAAAGTTCATGTTATAGTGCACACAACCTGATGTGAACCTGCGTAGGCAAACACTACGGAACCCACGAACAAGATTGAAATCTTCCCAAGAAAGCCAAAGCAAGATTTTGAATTAAATTCAATAGATCTGGAATCAAACAACCTGAATCGACGACAATGTGCGGACCTCTTGATTACACAAAAATACGGAATCTCACTCGATTGATTTGAACGCCACAAGATTAAATCTTGATAAGTTCTTGAATTGTTCAATTGTAGAACAAGAGTTGAAAGTAATATAGTCTCTCAAATTACGAATAATGTCAAAAGGTTCTTACAATTGAAAATAAAATAGTATTTATACTAGGTTTAAAAAAACTAGGTAAAAACGTGCCTAATATTTCAAGTATGGTAAGAAATCTACTAAGTATCAAATTATATCAAAAATAAGAAATTCACGAAAAAAATAAAAAAATGAGTTAAATTTTAACCATGCGGCCGCATGGAACATTCAAAAATCCCGAATAATTCCCTGCCTCAAGCCGTGTGACCACAGGACAGTTTTAACCATGCAGTCGCATGGTTCTTCTCTCCAGCTCTATCTTCGGCTGCTTGTATCTTGTTGATCCAATTGGTTTCAGCCTTAGACCCGAACACGAAACTTGTCCCATTTTGAGTCTCGAACATGATTTCATCTATGGTTGTCTTGACGAGTAATCCCATCGCCTCTTTCACTCGTTTTGTCCTTGCTCGTGTCATAGGTCCACCTTCGACTTTTAATGGATCTTTCCCCGGGCTTGACGTTGGACTTGATT